ATTAAAGAAAGCAATATAAAATGTAACATCTCTCTGATGTTGGAATTGTCACTGAGTTTAACGATAAAATTTATATTAAATATATTTTAAAATTTACAAATACAAAGATTAAATACGAAGAATGAAACTGTAAATTCATCATGTATCTATCTAACGAATAACCATCGAAGTATTCTTCGCAGCGAATTTTCTCTGCATTGAGCATTATTGAGCAATATGGAATAACTTAATTATTTGCATAGCTTGTTTTAATATGGAATATTTTTTGAAAATAAAAAATATATGCAGTAATCGACTCGATTTTAAATAAATACAAATCGAAACGTTTTATTCTTCTTTTCTCTTTATTCTTTCTTACACGATTGTTAGTCTCTTATACGATTATTCTTAGATAAATGTGATTTAAATCGCTGATTGACAAATTCAACTTATATTATAATTTAATGTTATTTGCACTTAAAACCTTTGTTGTTTTTTAAATATAAAAAATTTTGAATTACACAGAATGTTATTAATAAGCAAAGAGACTAGTATTTCTGAGTACTATGTCCTTTTACTTATTAATAACATATGTCTCTTTATTTATTAATAATATTCTAATTAAGAAAGATTAATATCGCAGTATTCCGCTTGGAAAAATACTTGAAAACCGTATACAAACAATTACAAGTTGTTATGTCATCAATGGGTTGTATAATGAAACAATATCTTTATTAATTTGATAAAGTATTTCTATAAAAATTACAAAAGTAACAAATGTAATAATATAAAATGCGTCGCATTTGAGATTTCCAAACAAATCCGTTCATAGATTTTACAAGTTCTCTAAAATTCTGTTCAAATTTTGACTTATAACTTATGCATATAGCACTTCCAAAGATATCTTAAAGTCGTTTATAAGATATCCCTATTTTTAAAGACGTTCTCTGGATGTCGAACTGAATGTATATAGAATGTCGTGTGCTATTTAAGAATTAATCAATATTTGCAGCAAAATTTTGTCATACAATAAAATTAAATCATGAGAAAACAACCATAAATCTGATGTTTGTATATTTTTTTAAATATTTTTTATTATCATGTGACGTGTATTATCTAACTAATCTTCAATTAATTTCTTTGATTCGAGAGTTATGAAATTATTGCAGAGTTATCGCATAATTACTTTTCTCTCGTGCGATAGTGGATTGTATCGTCGCCTCATTGCAATTTACTAATCTTATCTATTTCGTGCCTACCATTCGTCAGCCGCAAATAGGACAAAAAAAAAAAAGAAATAAAAAGACACATAGTTTGTTGAAAACTGCAAGTATACTAAATTTGCGCAATCAAACGCAAATCTTTATAATTAGATACAAATCAACAGATATCACAAGTGAATATATATAAGTCGTACATCCGGTATATGTTTATCGGCTTTTATGGTCGATTTGAAAGCAGTAAGATTTATGTAA